GTTTTAGGGAATGGCCGTTTCCTGTTTGGTAGGCATATTGGAAGGAGTAAGAATTATGCATATTGTGGTTAAGACTGAGATTTTTTTTTTATATATTGAGAGGAGTTTAAGGGGCTTGCTTGAAGGTGTCCCTCTCTAATATGCCTGTCTAGCAGACTACTATATATTAAACGTTTAGTCCAGTAACTACAACTGAAACTATAAGACTTATTGTAGCAAATGAAAAGTGAACATATCTGCCTTTTTTAATGGTCCACTTGAAGGGACTATATTCATGCATCAGCCTGAAAGATATCTAGTGATGGATCTGATAAATTTTTTAGATTGTAAAGAAGTTGATTTTTATTTATAATTCTTCTTTATGGAATGACTTTAACGCAGGTATATTCTATTTTCTAAGTACATGTTCATTCCCGTTTTGTACCGTCATCTGCGGCGTATAATATATTAGTCTGTATATGACCGGCGCATATGTTTTTGTTTAAATATTATTTTTAAATTATTCTTAAACCCAGTTACTGTAAAAAATGAATTGACATGTGGGTTAATTTTCGGTTTTTATCCCGGCTGTCAACTTGTTGAAGCGTGCACATAAATACCATGTCATGGGACATCCCGTGTATTCATATAATTTTATTCAACGGGTGGGGCGTTTAAAAAATTTCGCGCAATATACCGATGCATGTGAAACAGTGAATAAATGTTTAAACGAAGGCCACAAAATCAACAAACTACCGAGCAGAGAAAAAAGTACTATAATTTGATAGAAATCAGGGCTAGGAAGTTCCAATTTAAATTTAATTTTGATTACCACATTTATCATTATCAGTTACAAAATGAATTTACTTTACGATACATTCATAAAATTGTAGTTCTATATTTAAATTCGGTGTAGGTACGATGGTTTTATATCAAAGTAAATATTGAATAATAAATATTTCAAAATTATTGTTTGTGTGTGCCTTGTTTTATCTAGTGCATTAAAGTGAGAAAATTTGTGTTGTCAACGTTAAGTGATAAATTGAATCATGTAAGTTATTTAAATTTTTATGCATATTTTCTAAATGTTTCTTGGAAATTAAACTTGATAACACCCAAATTTATCATTATCTAATAGTTGGTTGAGATAACCGCGAGTTAACCACATTCATTTTGCGAAACATATACAAAAAATGAAAACGAGAAGATATATTGTCTAGTTATACAAATAAAATACAAAAACTTTAGAAAACGAAAACAATTTGTCATTTTTGTAGATTTTAAGAGATCCCTTGATTTAATAAATCATTCTTTCTTGTGGATTAAATTGGTCGCTCGAAAGGCAAAGGGGCGTAAGTCGAAAAATGCCCAATTTGACTTAAGACCACCAAAACTATGTTAAAGTGGTGAAGTGACAAAGGGGCGTATCTCTAACATAATATGGCAAATAATATGTGGACATACAGCAAAAGTTTAATAGCGTCTCCTGTAAAATAGCTAAAATGAAGTTACGCCTCTTTGTCATTCCTGCAACGAATTATTCAATATTTTATTAGCACCAAAAATTATTCTTGTATAAAAGTTTAAAAAATGATATATTCGCAAGCTACTATACAAGTAAAAAGTTTTAATGTTTAAAGTTTTAAGTAGAACCCTTAAGTCCTCTTTTGTTTACAAATTTACAAATTTTGTAGCAGATTTGGTAAATGTTTTTACAGCAAACGGCGCTCCAGGTGTAAATAATCAGTATTATTTACACCTGGAGCACAAAAATGATGTCTTAGCTTTACTGTATGGTGATGGCCTTGTCATTCTCGCACATTCTGAAATTGATGTTGCAAGAAAGATACATATTTTAGAATATTCTACTTTAAACAACTTAGTGGTTAATTTAAAAAAAAAGAAATTAAAATCCTGCAGTTCTGCAAAGGTAGTTTTTAGAAACCTAGTAATTTTTTGTGTAAGTCACTTTTTAAATTAACTGCAACTGATGAGTGAATTTTTAGGAGACACCTTCACTTAGGGAAAAACGCTATAATATCCTTGCTTCCTAAACACTGTTCCATGTTATTTTTGACTGTTCTACGAGTATATATACTGTTATGAAACAAAACATTGTTGTTGTTTTATTTTTTTTTTCTTTTTTATCCTGAATAACGCTACGAAAGTGGTAGAGATAAACCTACAATAGTTGTAGAGTTAACGTTTTTGGCTTATGCTACAAATATCGGAGATATAATATCCGCGCTATATCTACAACAATCGGGCAGTTAAAACTATGTCTTTGAAAATAGTATAGTTAGAATTGCAAATCTTCGAAATATTGAATCTTTAAACAGGAAAAGTGGTTAAAAAATAAATAAAGAATGTATTAAATTCGTCCAATATCATACGCCATTCAGTTACGTTGTTAGAAACCGACCCATCTAAGGACCATGTACAAATTAAGTTTATAAGACAGTTATCTTTAAACGTACTAAAAAAAATGTGTATTTGGAATTAGTGAATACTTAGAATTTACCTGTAAATCAATACCTGCATTTACATATACCCTGGCCTTTCAATTAATATTTCTGTCCGTCTTTATGAAAAGCATCGCTGTATCTCTAAGGTGGGAAGGGTAGGTTGCTCCGCTACATTTAGAACTCATTAGGCAAATTTTGCATCCTCCAGCTGTATATACTTATGAACTTACTGGTTGTCGCTGAAAGTAGTCTAGCAGCCATCATCAAAGTCCTGCAGGTTATCATATCATCAAAAATCCGCTGGTTGTCACTAGGGGAGCTAGGGATAGCCAACCTCTTATCAAAGTCCTGCAGGTTAGTAACTTCGATGAGGGATGTCTCCAGATGCCCCATTCTGTCCGACCGATTCACAGGGCACTAATAACAAGCATAAACAATTATGTTTTTTTTTTTCAGGATTAGCACTTCTGCACTTTCTCGAACAATTTTTACTCATCGATTTTATTATTTTGAAGTCTCCCTTATATCACTGTATAAACTATTCATTCTTAACATCTTTTACAGTCTTCAATTTCTTTTAATGTTGCAAAAATCCTGTCTCTTTCTAAAAGCGGAATTTCTAAGAATTTCCAAAACAATGACACTAACAAAGAAACATAACCTAACCTCACTTTTATTTTGTAAATAAACTAATGCCTTGGTCTTATCCGACTTTCGTAGATATAAGGCGGACGTTATCTTTACGACTTTCGTAGAGTTATCCAGGGTCTTTTTTAAACTTACTGTACTCTTGTTATGAACCTGTTTTTAAGCAATAAAGATTAGTATTACAAAACAAGAAAAAAATTATTTTAGAAGATAAAATTTACTTACTGTATTTCCAACTTGAGTATGAAAAGAGCTTCTATCTGAAAAAAAAAAAAATAAGAATTAAATTCTAATATTTACATGTATTATAAAAAAAACAAACACACAATATATTGCACATTGGAAATTAAAAGTGACACTTTACAAAAATTTAAAATTTCAGAATAGCACATTTAATATTATTTTGTCTTACAATGTTTAGTACTAAAATACCTCTACTTGCAGCAATTAATTCCTTATATATTATAGCTATTTAGACAAATGACTCAAGGCATTACTTTTCTTAGATTTTCCTTAACCTGTGTCAACAATTTTCTTCCTGATCTACCTCCCTTTTGTGCCAGCACCTCTTCATGCGAACTGGTCTAATCAACCCATTCTTACTATTTTACCACACGAATTACCACGAGATTATTGTATTTAACATCGTTATGGTTTTAATAATATTAAAGACTTTGTATACCAATTTTTCTTAAAAAAAATAGTTGTAGACTGAAATCTGAGGATAAAAATCCCACCAGAGGATATTGACATATGAATTGTTAAAAAAAAACCACAAAATTTTGTGGTAAAAAAGAATGGTGGTGGCGAAAACCAAGAGAGAGGTCAATACAAGAAATAACGTGAGTTGGAATGTTAAGGTGATTACCGCACCCCTTATAATTTTCGGATAAGCATATCTCTAAAAGTAATTTTTTTTAAAAAATTAAAATTTTGGAAAAGTAAATTAGGCAATAATATCTAGAATATGCATATATTTTAAAGTTTAAATTCCTCCCAGTTTCCAAGAAAAAATCAAAGGTCTTTAAATTTTGAAATATCATGATAAATAAAAATAAATACATTCCTCAACAGCACTAGGTATTCCTAATATAATCCCGAAATTTGAGCTCTTAATATCTTGTTAATTATGCAGCTTTCTGGTGTAACGCGTCTGTAACTAGTGTATCGTACACTCTCAGTCATCATTCGTTTCTTGCGACGATTTAGGTACACCAGTGTACACCAGTTTACACCAGAAGATAGCACTTAACGAGGTGTTTTAGCCACTTATTTTGAGGATTATATTAAGAATAGTGCTGTTGAGGAATGCATTTATTTTCATTATAATATTTTAAAATTTAAAGCCCTTTGATTTTTTTTCATTACAAACAAATAACATCCCAGCAAATCAATACGGGTTTCATCGAGGTTACAGTGGCACTGGCTAACATCACTGATGATATTCATCAAGCTATTGATGATAAGAATGTATCTGTATTAGTTTTAATGGATTGTTTTTAATGGTGGCTTACAAAGGAACCTGATTAGGATATGTCGTCATATCATCAAACAAGTCTTTCAAGAATAAATATTTTATCTAGTATCAAAAACTCCTAGTTATATCGCTATGCAACTTATAAATATGTGAAGTGAAACTTCGACAACTTATTTATAACACTATATAGTTGAAACCGTAGTGACCATATTCCAATATCGCCTCGTACATTATAAGTGAAAAGAAAATTTAAAAAATGGTGCAGTAGTTTTTCAGGATGACCAATTCAGCATTTTGTATGAGCTTGTCCTAATGAATTACCCCTTAATAATTGTTATTTACTTTACTATCTGTTCAAAAACAGATTTAAAAAGGTAACTTTTTGCATCAACGTCGATTGGATAGAACAAGGTCGAATAAATACACAACATCAAACATTAAATACGATCCCATCACGACATTGTACTCTTATTAAAAATTGAAAAATGAATAATAGCGGTTGTAAATTTCTGCCGGCAGAAAATGCAATCATAATTCGTAAACAGTAATAATTTATTTATAAATTTAATTTATTGCTTTATTATTACCTACGATCTAAGATAGTTTGGTGAAAAAATATTTGTGTTAGTTATAGTGAAATATGTGATGTGATAAGTGGCTGGATGTTGGCTCTTAACGGTCAGAGGGGGTTGATTTTTCTTGATTTTTCTGTTCGAAATATAAATATACAATGTGGACCAAAATGTGACATACATATCTACTACAACATTACTAAAATCATAAAGTTCTTAAATTATACGTTTATTTGAAGCCAATTTTTCTCAAAGATATATTATACAAAGTTTTGTTTCCAACATAAACCAGATGGGGAAAGGGGTATGGTACAACACACAATGACGTACTGTTTCGAAAGGGTTAATTCATAATATTTTAGAAAAATATTTAATGTTCACATCTTGATAACATATAAACGTGTTCCCAATAAAAATGATGTAAAAGCCAGTCTGAAAAGCATAAATTGAGAATTATTTTGAATGTAAATGATTTTTGAATATAGCAGGATGTAGATGGCGCAAAACGCCAAAGACATTTTTCAATTGGTGGGACACTGAATGACATATAAAATCGGGTTTAGGTATATTTTTCTAGGTTTTTTTGAGTACAAATACGTCAATTGGTCCTTATTGAGTAACTGTAATCTTTGTAACCTTTTAATCTATTTAAATTAAATTATATTTAATTCATTTTTTATACCAATAAACAGAAATTTGATTGAAATATTGCCAAATTATTAACATTATTTTTTTTTTGGTGCCATATTTACAAATTTTATGTTGAAATCTTTTGTCATTTTCTTATTTTTTATTAATAGTTCTCCTTAATAATTTTTTATTGAGCCAATGCTATGTTTTTACATTTTTGCCTGTTATTTCTTTAACAATTTTTTTATGAATTAAATTTATTAATTTATTTTTACAAAAATTATATTGTTGTTTTATATCAATATTTTCCAAATATTTTACTACTTTCTTAAATAAATTATTCTTCCATTTTATTATTTTTTTTTTTAACTCTTTTTACATATGTATATATTTATTATATTTTGAACAGTGCCAATAAATATTTTCATTGCAACACTTGGATCCTACTAATTATACGCTTTTTTTTAAAATAGTGTTCATTTTGTTGTAATCAAAATATTTAAATATTTTTTAAAATGATTTTTTTTGTTGTCGAATGATCAGTTATATTTGTCCCAACAATTAGGGGCAATAACATATCCATGGCCTCCAATTTTTTTGTTTTGATGAAAATTTGATCTAAACATGTTTTACCTCGAGTTGCTTTGTTAATAGTAGAAATGTAACCATGTTAACTTAATTCCTTTATATATTCGGAGACCTTAGAATTGTGGGTATCTAGAATATTAATACCAATATCACCAATAAAAATATAAAAATTACGTTTCTATATTAAAATAAATAAACAGCAATAGTGAACGCTTAACGACCTGAACAATGAAGGCTTGTGTCAAGTTAATTATATAATCAAATATGTCACATTATAATTTATAAGAATGAAAGAAAAATGTGTAATTTTACCTTCCGAAAAGAATATACCTAAAAGTGTCACTGGCTCTCCTACTATATATCCTGTTAATAAGGTAAAAAATGCACAAACAAAAATTAAAATAATTAAATTCAGCACATTACAAGAGTTACTCAATTTATTCGGTACTGCATATTTTAATTAGAACACGCTGTATATTACCTACAATAAAAAAAAATAGATGTAATTGGTTCGAAGTTTAGAAAAAATATTATTTATTGATACGAAAACAAAATATTTAAATTCTTTGGAAATTCACAAATAATTTTTTAAAAATTACCCCAACGAAAAAATTAAATCTATTTTTAATTACTAAAGTTTGTGTATTCCAAATACACCTGTACATGCTGTAAAACTCGAAGACGGAGTTATGACTGTTTTAAAAATTTTAAATTATTTGTTTTTGTTCCCCGATGTTTTTTAAAATATATTTACTTCACCAGTAGATGGAAAAGATTGTTTTCCAAAACATGTTGTGATTTGTAAAATAAAAACTTAAAGGCCGATACAACCAAGGGACTTTTAACTTATTATTCATAGCTATTTGTAATTTATAGTTAGAGATAATGAATAATGATTTGTTCTTGTTCCATTCAGTTACATTGTTTTATACTTGTTGGAGTTTATCTATAATTTTCGTTGACATGTTCCACTGCTAGGTTAGCTGTATCGTAGGCATAAGAAGCGATCCTCACATGTTCCATTTGTGGTATATCACAGGTTTAGAACAGGTAAATCAGTGGCCCTACCATACTACCTTATGATGGGTGTTGGCCACTTGGTCGCCGCGGTTAGTTTTGTCAGCGGGGTTCCGTAATCTCATCGACCACTTGGTCTCCAGTTTTAAAATCAGGTCTTGGTCGCCGTAGTTATCAATCATTAAAGGTATCTATTTCGATTTATTGAAAATAATATTTTTAAGAAAAAAATAGTTTAACTGATTTTTATTATTTTCCACGTGAATAGAAATTTTTAACTAATATGATATGGTACAGAATGTGGGTCAGGAAAAGAATAAAACCAAATTAAAAAAACACTTATAATTAATAGAAAACAATATAAAATTATACATAATAAAAAAAAGTAGGTACAAAATACACAAAATACCAAATAAAAATTATTTAAGAAACCCAAATTGCAATTAGTTTTTGTAATGATAAGAAACTACTTTGATAAATTGAGTTCGTGAAAGGATCTTATTTTTATATTGTTCTATTACGTTCGTTAAATACGCATGCCGTTTTTTGTAATTAGCGTTTTTAATTTTGTTAGGTATATGTGTACTATTTAATTTCACATAAGTATTTAACTGAATATCGAGAATTACATTAACAAATTTGAATATATCGGGATGCGCCGAATAAAAAGCAGAATTAAAATGTTTGTGGAAAGACTCACAAGCATTTGTTGTGTGTTCTGTGGAACTTGTGCACGATGCCCACATTGTAGGCGGGAAGTCAGACGTATCGCTAGTATACGTATTAATCATATAAAGAGTATATGAAGTTAATCTCTCGTCAAATGGCATTATTGGAATTAAATCTTTACAAAAACACTCTGCCACTTCAGTACTTTCCAAAAATAAAATGCCGAAAGTGTAATGAAGCCATTTGCCGATTTCAGAATTTTCATTTTTATATTCGGAAACCAAACCCAGATTTTGTATCTTACGTAACCACGATTGGGTTAAATGAAATCTACATCCAATAATTAAGATATCAGGCCAAATCTGTATAATACCAGTGTGTATGGCTTTCTCAAAATCGCAAATAACTTTACACAGCTTCCAATCTAAATTTAAATTATTATAACAGTAATCTTTTAATAATTTAAATGCAGTTGCATAGGTACTTGCTCTTTTATCTGGTAAAACAAAAAATGCCAATGGTATGTAGTGTCCGTTATCAACAGCATGTATAGTGAAAAATTGTAAAAAAAATTTAGGGCAATAATTAAATGTGCCGTCGCAATAAATACTATCACGAGAACACAAGTATTTTAAATTTGAATCACATGAAAATAAAATAATTTGTGAATCTTCATTGTTAAATAATAAAAATTGTTCACCCTTATTTGTAACACATTGTATTGCTTTCAGTACACTATGAACATCACTGATACACTTTGGCAAAGGTGGCAATATACTTCTTCTTGTCCTATATATGCTTCATCTGATGAGGTCAACATCCGTAGTGGATACATTAAAAGTATTTCCTTCCCCTCGGATTCCGTTATTAATTAACTTACTGGGTTTAACGCAAATATCTTCTATTGCCTTTCTTTTCAATCCGTTTTGATGTTTTTTTACATCTAAATGGTCCGATGGTGGATGATTGTGTTCACTCTTAGATTTCAATAAGACAGTTTCCGAATCGTCCACTCCAATAGTCGCTTTACACCCACGACGAGTACACTTATATGATACACCTAACTTTGTTTCCTTGTCTTTTCCAAATGTATATTTTTTTACAATTAACAACTTTTTTCCTTTTACACTTAACATCGACTCCATTGCAACACAAACTCAAAACTTCTTTTATGGAATAATGAATAAGATGAGAATCACTTTTAAAATAAAAAAATTAATCTTTTCAGTAAGAATGCAGACAATTAACTGATGAAAAATATTTTTATTTTAGTTCTCGACAGGTCACAAACCGATATTATAATTAGAGTAATTAAATAACCCCATAATTTTCTTGGAACCCTTAATCCAGGTTTGGAGACCAAGTGGCCTATACCTTTCGAATAGCGAAAGGATTAAATTTGGGTAAAACTGACCGCGGCGACCAAGAGGTACATTCCCCTTATGATATACCAGTAATACAAGATTTAATCTTATTATATTATTTTGCTACCATTGTTTCTAATTTGTTAATTAGTACATACCAGACCTGGGCTACATCCAAAAATATTGCTGAATATATATGATTTTCCTCGCAAGCTTTTTCAATTATGTCTGTTATGCAGTGAATTTTGTCATTATTTGTCGAATGCTTCTTCTTAAACCCAAATTGATGCATAGAAATTAGTTTTTTCTTATAATAATAAATCATCAGTAATGTCTCGAATGGTTTATACATTTGTAATAGCGGTACATTTAAGTACGATGATGATTCATTTTAGGGTTTTTTGTATGTGACAATTATTATTACCTCGGATACTTTCCAGGCATTTGGTACTTGTTTTAACCGAAATACTACATTTTTTTAGATACCTGAGTTTAACCAATGTTTTACTAGATAGCTTCTTAAACATTTGTTCTATTCGGTCATAGCCTGGAGCATTATTGCATTTAAAGTTCCTAATTTCATCTGCTAGTTCTTTCGGTATAATTAAATTAAATTCTAAATCTTTACCTTCATACGATAGTAAGTAATTTATTTATGACATGATTTTTCTTCGGTGGAAAAGCAAAAACAAATTTTTTGCGTGCGTTGACATGTTTTTTTAGACAATGCTGATTCGTAATTTAATGAGAAAATAAAAATATTCTGTCACCGAGTTAGATTCGAATATAATATCCAAATAACAATTCGGACTCCGGGCATCTAATGGCCTGATAGCAGAGTTGGTAAGAAATCGTGCGTAAAACGCGAATGTGTAGGTTTCAAATCATACCCGTCACAGGCATAAGAAAAATAGTACTATCTTTTATCTTTCTCTTAACACTCGCAGTGAATTTGATATATATTTAACAATATAATGCTATATTAAATTCTTGTCATTAGGTATTATAATTATTTAAAATTGGCTTTCAACAAGGTTTCTTCGAAAGTACTTCTACTTATTTTTCAATTTTTCAATAAATCAGTTTAAACAAAATATTTGTGAATTTCCAACGAATTTGTAAAGAACTAAATATCTGAAAAATCGTTACATCAGTATATACAACTTTATTGCATCCGCATCTCCCAAAAAGAAAAATCAACCCCAATAATCCTAAATCATCCCCTCATCATCCCAAAGTGCAGACAGTTCAAGACAGGCCTTTTTGTCTCTGCTGCGATATATACGAGTATCCTTCTTTTGCCGCGTTTTCGCATATACACAACGGCTGCGCCCTGCATCCCTTAACGTGGAGGAAACCGTCCGAGAATCTCCAAGTCGGCAGTGCTACGCGCGACTCCTCCAAAATCACAGTATCAACTGCACAACATCGATCCGGGGGTGGTAGAGTTGAATTGGGGAGCATGTCAGCTGCAAGTACACCGAGGTAGGTCCCAATTTTTTTCCTGTACGTTGTCGTATGGTTCTGTCTGCGTCCGACGCTCGTTTTGGGGAAGTTATTTCGTTGGGGGTTGACGTGTGGTTGGGATAGTGGGATAGATGCGGAAGTATAGCCGGTGGGTATACGATGCGGCTTCTTGAATTATTTGTTTTGGTATGAATATGTAAATCAGTATAAGAAGGTTGTAATCATTTTGATCTATTTTCATTTAATACATTGCAATATAATAGCATTTAATGAAAAACAATTACATGTATTATTCAATAATCATATAATGTTGGTTGTTATTGACGCTGATGCAGTTTACAGAACGAGCGAGTGTGGTATATCATCTAAGTAATGTTATGCGAATATAATACTATAGTTTAACCACGACTATCAATCAAATAATTTGAAGAGTAAAGATTAAAAAAGTTGGAGTAGTTTTCCATAATTTTGATGGTTCATATTTGATAAATAATTTGGTGAAACATATCAATACGTTTTTTCTTGTGAATCCTTCTGTGTACAGGGTTATTCATTATACATTAACCACCATTTAATCTCGTTATTATTACAAATATAAAAATATGTCCTAAATAAAAGTTGCGAGGCTATTATCTTTTTCTTATTTCCAAAATGTATTTTATAATGTTTTCCAGTTACTGAACGTCAAGTATCTTAGTTTAGGAAAATATCTGCAGTTTTTCTTCGTCACTGTATACCATTTTAATTATTTTATTAAATAAATCCCACTTATCGAACATAGTACCCATAATTTTTATAAGTTTAATTATTACTTATAATGAATAACTCCGTACAATAGATTCATATGGAGATAAATAAAGTTTCTGTTTCCGGTAATGAGCTTAAACTTACATTCAATGGTGCCCACTTTTGGTTATCTCCGTGAGGGGGGTTCTCAAAAGGTTCTCACCTCTCTAATGATGTGTTTATGTTCTTTTAATTTGCTACTGTACGGGAAAAATATCGATTTTTTAATAATATATATTTTTTTTTCACGTTACCGTCCCCCAAAGTTTTTTTTTTGGGGAGGCTGTTGCCCCGGTCCTGCCCTCCGTAATCGGCGCCTATGCAAAGTTTTACGACATCCTTTATGTCTGATGTAGTAAACGACATCTCATTTTCACCTTCTGTATATAGTTTTTTTTTTGTAATTTTTCTAATGAAATACTTTAAAACTGTGGTGTTTAAATCTAACAGCGGAAACGCGCTGACTTGACGTTTTATAGCCATCTATATGTTTATCTTGTATCTATATATATAAAATTGATATTATTAGCAAGTGAAAAAATGTATTTTAAACATTATCTATAGATTATTCGTAGACAAAATAATTTTTTCTACATTAGGTAGGTACTATCTAAAGAAGAATTATAAAATGAGAATTGGCATTTTTTTCATTTTGTCATAATTTGACAAATTTGCCGCTCTAGAGTAGAAAAGCTGTCATTCAATGTTATTTACAAACAAAACACACATACCGCATTATTAGGAACGCGCAGTGAACTGTGAACTGGTTTACAAACAAATTCGGCATACTTTTACTTTTTACTTACACTCGCAAATTCGTTTTTATAAATATTTAGTTAAAATTCTTTAACAGTCTAGTAGCCCACGTTGACCAAATTGATGTCACCAGCGGCTAAAAATTAAAATGAATAACTTCACCAGTAAAATAATGCCACTGACGTATTTTGTAGAAATAACGATTAAGTTGTCAAAAATAAAAGTAACTAAAGGCAATATCAATCCAATTTCTTGTTTTGCTAGATTATTTACAGGTATTGAATGAATAAAAAATCCATCAAGCTTTAGGTCTTTTACTCCACATTTTTTCCCTTATTTTCTTCTTCCAATTTTGTTGCCTCTGTGCTCTCTGGGTAGAAAATCTTGTTTGGTTTCTTTTAAATGTATTAGTGTTAGGAAATTTTAATAACGAGGAAAATTAATTACCGCAAACACCCATAATCATAAAATTTTCGTAAATTATACATATACCGATAAAATTTTATTGTTGTGGGTGTGATCAAGGCGAAAACAAACATGTTTACTTTTAAATACAAATTATTGGGTATGGATATCTAATTTGTTTACACTCCTCGTGAAAAACCTTTAACGATAACAAAGCTGCGTAATTTTAATTAGATAATTAGAGTAAACAATTGTTTTAATTTTATGAAATCAATGAAGTGAATTAGAAAAAGTATTTAATAGGTAGCGGTTAAAATTGAAATAACATAATAATAATTATAATGTTCCATAGACCAGATGCTTCGCTGCAAAATTATAATAGCTAATTACTCGCTTAATTCAATAATTAAAACATTGACAATGGGTTGAACTCGATGCACTAGTAGGTTTTAAAGAAAATCGCTATCATCGACATGTAAAAAACATTTCTGTTCATAAATGAATCCGCTATGAAAGTCAGTGACCATCCTAGCAGATGTGCAGCGCGTGACTCCTACGCGATATGAAAAAATTAGGGGTGTGTTTGAACTCATTCGTTAAAAAATGTTCTATTGCAAAAAATCAAATATTAACATTAAATATACTTGGTAAAGATATGCAGTCTTTGCAAGATGAAACCTGAGGCCGAATACAGACATAATAAAAATAGTACCATCTTTTATCTCTCTCTTAACAAGCAATTCACTCACACGCTGTGTAACCGAAATGATTTGAAATAATTTGGATGAGTTCACTTTTAAAAGTCAGTTAAATGAGAGGCGAAATCTAACCAATAGAATTTAAACTTATAGGGTACCGCAACTGATGCTATAAATAAGCGTGAAATTATAGCGTTTGTTTCATCTTCTTACAACCAGTGGCAGCTGGTGCATAAATGTAGTAGAGCTGCGGAACTGCCAAAAAATCTATCTCATCTATATTTGACAGAAATATTTCTAAAATATACATAAAATAAATTGTATGAATAAGCTCATAATTTTAATCATTAAATAGTAAATGGTGTGTGTGCACTGCACCGCTTGGGCCGCCCGCGCTCTTCGCCTCCTTTAGTCGTTCTAGTAGTCTTGATAGGCATATGCATGTCAAAAAAAAAATTAATTGACAAGTTTGCGAACAGTGAAACTTATATGTCAATAGTATTTTGATCAAAAATAAAAAAAGGCGTATTGAATAATTCTACTTGCCTATCAAGACTACTAGAACAACTAAAGGAGACGAAGAGCGCGGGCGTCCCAAGCGGTGAACTGCACACACACCATTTACTATTTAATGATTAAAATTAAATTAAAATTATGAGATTATTCATAAAATCTATTTTTCCTACGACCACTTAGGAAAGTGACACATATCACACTATATAGTCATATGGAAAGTGCCCTATATCACACGCGTATGAATAAGAATTTACTTTCCACCCGAGTGAGAATATGTTACTTTCCGCAGCAGCTGTCAAAAAATGTCAAACCCATAATTTCTATTTTGATCGATGTAATGTCCATATTAATACTAAAATCGATATGATTGTTAAATTATTGAAATTGTTGTAAATTAGATCCTAGATATTTATTTTTAACAATTATTATTAAAATAATTTTAAAATAACTAAGATTATGTTTGCTTTTTATTCTGGTTAAACATATAACGGATTAGAGCATTCAATTCACGAAAGGCCTGTTAGCTCAGTTGCTTAGAGCATCAAACTATCAAATTTACTATTTGAGAGACCTGGCGAACGACCGCGTTCGAATCCTGGCGTGGCCAGAATTTTTTTTGTTTTTTTTTATTTTTTTTTGTTTTTTAATTTTTTTCTTTTTGTTTAAAAAATATGAAAATTGAATAAATTGTTGTTGATTATTTTTTTAAATACATTTTAATTATTATAATAACCTGGTTTTACATTTTTTGATGAAAATATTTTGTGGTCGTAGGAAAAATATTGTACATCACTTGTGTGAAAAGTGATTTTCCACACTCGTGTGATAGTCGCACTCGGCTTGTGCCTCGTGCGACAATATTTCCCACTCGTGTGAAAAATGTCACTTTCCACACTCGTAATGTAATATACTATTACGTATATTTTAGAATGCCTAAAATAATTTCTGTGTAATAATTTCTTGCGCACCCAGAGCCCCCGAGGATTCGGCGCATATGAAACTACTGATGAATTTTACATATTTTTTAAACATTTTCGGTAATTATAAAGTTTCGAGTTATTTTTGTCTTGGTTTTGGGCAAATTTACTAAAAAAAACTAATCCAAGGACTTGTAAATCACCAATTTCCATGTAATACATCTCATTAACCCGACAAGCACCCATTATTCCCATTAATGCAACTTTATCAAATAAATATCTAATTGTAATATATGAACCTTAATCAATAGCCTACATTTGCTGTGAAGTATTTGTCATCTGATAAGTAAAGCCATAATAACTTCGTCACATAATACGAGCCTTTTTTGGCTAAATACCTTCACTTGTTCGCTTTATAACACAGGTCCCTGACTTTCATATTCCATAGTTTCATATAATTTTCTATATTTATTCATTGGTGAATGTATATTGGATAGTACTTCTAAGCATTGAATAATGATTCTATTAGTGTTGAGGATTTGTTTCTAGTTCTGTAAAATACGCCAACATAACAGATTCCGAATACGATTTTATGTCTTTAAGGAAGATTCATATGTCGCCACATACAATTTTTTTGGTTTTCTGACAATACATTCCGTGAAGCAATTTTAGCAGCTTCTGATTTTATTTTTGGAATCCATTTTTTGTTAGTATTTAGTAAAACATTTTACAAATTACTTTGAGTCAAAATTTGACGTTTTAATTTGAGTAAATTCGACTTTTAGATAACAGCTGCCACCTACTTATAGACTGTCTAAAAATTGTAATCAATGCAAAGGAAATGCTCGTGATTTTAAGAACATTAATATTAAAGTAGTTAGGTTGAACCGAAAATTCTGAAAATCAATAGGGTTCTAAGTTAGAAGCATCTCACTTGGGT